AGAAAAGGTTCGTTTTCAAAGTGTTTTTCATTCACACTAAAACGCAAAACCGGCGTTTTCAAATTCCTCCGGTTTGAAGAGCGTTTTCGCAAAGCTCCGTTTTCGTGACGGATTGGTGCAGACGGCAGACATAACCAGAGAAATAAAGCTGCGTTTTCAAATTCCTCCGGTGTGGTGTGGACAGCGCATAAGCCTTCCTGTAAACCTTTTGCTATAGAGTAGTAACGAACATACAGATCCATTTAAGTGCAAATTTCGTGATCCTGTTGATTTCTAAAGACGTTTACCGACCTTTTCACTTTTAAGTGAATAAAAAGCTCAGATATAACGAATAATCCTGGCTGGTAACAATCACACTTTATAGTCCCAGCCACATGTGCATTTTTTAGATTATCCGCGTGAGAAACAATTACAGTGAATACGTTACTCTACTGAGAAGGTTACGCGTTTTGAAACAGCCACAAACATCCCATCATCGCATCAGTAATGAAGTTTTGGTGAAGTGGAACACGTGAATAAACTAACCTTTGGAGAAGCACTGAGACGACACCTCGCGTGCAATGCTTTAACCAGCAACACAAAGTACCTCAAGCATAAGAAGACCAGGCAAATATACACGGGAAGCTCCGAGGCAATTTCGTCTCCAGAGAATATCTAGCGCAATATAAAAAAAACGTTAGCAATTATCTAGAGCATTTGGACTACGAAGAAGTAACTACACAAAGTGAAGATTAATTGTGTAACTGCCTTCTTGAGGGAGGGAGAGGGCGGGGGGGAGAGAGTACTCAGGCTTGTAAGTGACGGCAATCTACGAATGAGGCCAAATCGCTAGACTAAAAAAAGTCCCATTCTTGTCAGCATAATCCCCATCAAAGTCCTTACCAACATCCTTTGCCCCAAAAAACTCACTACAAAATTTCGAACCACCAATAGTCGTCAGATCACAAATTTCAAACCAAAGAGTTAAGAGCTTCCGAACTATCCTCCCGCCTCCCTTCCCCCTGAGTTACCGTCAATGCTTTGTTCCATATCCGGACACCCCAAATGGAGAAAAACATCTTTTTTGAAATCGCAGGAAGAGAAACTTCTCGTAAGAGAACGCCCCTAAAAGAACCCGAAATGGGTTGAACAGAAATCTAATAACACTCTAGGAAACTTTCGTATTTAGCCAGAATGTCACCATCACTTTCTAAAAAGTTAACGCGGTAGCCTTATTTATGTCGACGGATAAACGTATCCTTCCTCGAGTCCTTCTTACAAATGATATGTTGGATGGACACTGGATGAATTGAGCAGCTTCAATGCAAATCCTGTAAAGGAAAACAGTACTGTCATTAACAAAATTACAGAAATTAATTAAACAAAAACTAAAAAAAAATAAGGAAGTTAACAATCTGTCATGTTTTTCCCCAAGAACACAACACAATGAACGCAGCCAAGGTCGTTTACCCGCGGAAGGAGGCGGGGTGGGGG